GGGAAGGGAAGGGAAGGGAAGGGAAGAAACATTTTGCCTCCTTGGAAGTTTCTGTTATTTTTGTTTAGGAAGAAAAGGATAGGATAAATAAAAACCCCTTCTGATACTGACTGATAAGAAGGGAACCAATAGGTTATAAAAACAGACTTCAGACTTAAATCAAGGGAAATAAGCCAGAAAATTCTTTAAAATATAGTGTTTACATATATATAAATGCACCCTGCTTGTCAAAAATATTTATACAAAAATTAAGACAAGTGTTATAAACATAAACATGCCACCTGTTTTCCAGGTTAGTTCAGCCAAGACTTATTTCAGATCATTTGTAGTACTGAACATCCCTGAAAACTTGTAACCTTAGAGTAGACTAATGAATCACAGTGGAGTCCCAACTTAGACAACAGGCAATGTAGATGCAAGTCTGAAGTTAAACTGAATCAGCAACTGAACAATGAGGAAATAATTTCCTACTTATGAAAGTTCTATCAACATAGCCTGCATTTATATCCCCATGATAAGCATCGCTGTTATTAGGCTAGTTCAAATTTCCACTCACAGTAATGCTTTATACTAAAATCCCCTCAGCGTAATATTCATTTTTGAAAGGGGGGTCAGTGGTGTACTTTGTATATGTGCTTAACATCCTAGTACATGTAACAAGTAGTCTCCACTTTCAGGGAAAGTCTGAATAGATTTAAGTTCTACTTTTGAGCCAACGTTTATCATAAGACAGTACTTGCTGTGCAAACTGGATGGCAGCTCATTTATTTCCAGTTAATATGAGGTTTTATAATCAGTTCTTGTCATAGGCATCAACCCTTCATTCATTCAATCGTAAAAATGTGACTTACTAGAAAAGGAAAAATAGAGTCTAAAGGCACAGAATCACATAGCTGCTCTAGTAGGAGTCTGTAAACAGAGAATCGTTTGAATTTAGGAAATCCAAATCTAGGAAAGTAAAAAGGCAGCTGAAGCAGGCTTTTATCTAGCCAACTTCCTTAAAGACCCAAAGGGTTTTGAGGTCTACAAAGTACGCACTAAAATACCATGTTTCAAAAAGCAATAAGGCAAATAGTATACTCATTATTTCAAAAAAGTTACAATGGTAGTGTAGGCATACACAGTATAACTTAGTTATAATGCGTGGTACTGTTTCTACTACATAGCCCTATAACTGTTTCCTTCCTACATACTCTGATAAAATCCCGATTCCAAGTGAACACAAACATTCTTGTACCACATCTACCACTGGTAATAGCTCTTTAACAGCAACAGAGTTTGTTCCGCTGCTTAAGTCATGCTCATACTGAGCAAAGTCCACAAACTGAAGTCCAGAGATTAAACACTGTCATACTTGTGAAGAGCTTCTTCTAGCTTTTGTGTCACTTTTTGAAAAAAGAGTATTTGCTGTTGCAAGAAATGCTGCATCTGTGATTTAAAGTCCCTCACACGGATTTTGTGGAAATGATTAATTTCTGCTAGGGTCGCAAAAGAAATAATGTTACAGCGTTCCTGAATGCCCTCTGCTTTTTGGAGCTCCATCTTCCCCTCTTCCACGTGCCGCTTACTCTCCTTTACTTTGGTGAGGGCTCCTGTGTAAAGAAGAGAACAGAAGAGTTTAACTGTGAGAACAATCTACACTTTTCTGTACTTCAAAGTGATTTAATAACAACAATGTGTACAAAACCTATTCTGAGTGCATTTATGTGTATGAATAAAGAACTTTTCCAGATTAAAAAATCACAGAATACTGTATCATTTTAGAAAGCAAGGCTTTAGTTTGCAAAAGTCAGTAAGAGAAAACATGCCTATTTCACAATCTTAAAATATCAGATCATTCATGTATTTCAGAGAACAATCAACAAATACACTGACAGTGAGAAAAAAGGTAAAAAAAATGGATTTAGGCTTCAATTAACACCAAAAAAGTAACATCATTCAGAAGTCTGTCCTGAAATGTTGAACTCTTTCAGGCTTCATGAAACATCAAAAGCAGATCTGAATACACAAAATAACAATGCATCATTCTGCTTCTACAGTACAGATACCCCCAAATATTACTGATGACTGGAGAATCTAAAAGTTTATTTCAAAGCTACAGAAGTCCAGGCAGAAATAACACAGCCTTGTAAGAGATGCTAAAAAATACAGCAAAGGAACCTTTCTCTTCCAAACAGCTGATTAAAGGACACATCTCACAAAACCTTCACCAAAAGCAGACAGTGACATAGAACACCAAGATGAATCTTAATATTAATTTTCACAAGCTCAGTTTCCCAGAAAAGCAACTTATTATCCTTAGGAACAACATACTTATTCATAGAACTAGGAATAGTCAGACCAATGCAGCTTTAGACTTCTCCAAAAAATGTTCATTATACGTATTTGTCATAACTTTTATCCTGGAGGTGTTCAAGGCTAAGTTGGATGAGGCCCTGGGCAACCTGATCTAGACTCTGACAAACCTGCCCACAGCATGGGGGTTGGAGCTGGATGATATTTGGGATTCCTTCCAACCTAAGCTGCTCTGTGACTCTGTTTCTAGCTGCAATGTCTCAAATGACTCTCTTTTGTACCATACTTTATATCATACAAATGACTACAGTTCATGGACAGGACTTTTTACACTGCCTTGAAGAAATGCTTTTCTATACTCCCTGCAGTGAAGGGAGTCAGCAAGCTAACAGAGAAGCCTCTCTACCTCTGTATTGAAAGGGTAACCTCCACCATTTCTGTGGGAGGAGTGATTTTGTCTACTATCATCCTGAATCGCCTTCTGTTCTAAACGCCACTCACAAATAAAAACATAGTTCTGCTGTGGTAACATCGTCTTCCACCCTTTCCTTCCTATGACTTTTAACAAGATATTTTGAACACCCATTGCTTCAGCATTTCTCACAGCTCAGTGCAGTTTGCTCCTTTTCCTATCCCTAAGGTCATAGAAACACAGAATCTTCCAAGTGGGAAAAGGCTGTTTAACCACTGAGTTCCACCACTAAACCATGTCCCTAAGCACCATGTCCACATGTCCCTTAAATATCTCCAGGGATGGGAACTCCACTACCTTCTTTGTCATCTGGCTGCAATGCCTGACCACTGTGCATCCTTACTAGAGACAAGTTAAAGTACCTGATGATATGGTGGACCTTAAAAAAGTTTCAGACGTGGTACGTGCTTCAGGAGCTCCAGAAACTCCCTGGTTTGCAGTAAGACCACAGGAACCATTTCTGCCACTGTGGCAGGAAAAGCAAGTTTAGAACAAAGACTTGCAAGTAACCTAACATGCAAGTATTTGACCAATGGCCCCCAGGATGCTGCAGGCTGGTTGGTAACACTTCACCTACCCACACTTTCCCCAGAACCATGGCCTTCAGGCATGGCAGCTAAAAGCTTGGCACCAGCTACTATAGCTCATGGACCTCACTGCCTTCAGCCCAAAAACAAAACCAAGAAACAACCCACAGGTAAGTAGCACAGCATCAATCTGTGCCAGAAGACTGTGTTTTTTCCTGCAAAGACAGTAATCCATGAGGCAGGACACAACGTAAAAAATATTGAATCCTCTCTTCGACAATAAAGACATTTCTTTCAGCAAACAAAAACCCACTTGGTAATTTTTTTTTTTTCCTTCTGCATTCTGTTTGCATTGGAGGACGCTGTGCAAGGCTGTGAAAAAAAATGAAATTTGGGAGTTACCAGGAGCCAGATGGAGCTGGTTAAATAAATATGAAAACTCCTTGGTTGTGATGTGGGAAACAACATTAGATGTTATTTCTAGAATGACTAAACTGGAAGAAAAAATACTGAAATTGACAGCATCAGCAGCTGAAGTTCATGAATCTTCTGAATATTTTACATCAATAATAATTATTGCTAATTACCTAACAGTTCCTCCAGACTACAAATATTATACATTATGACTTTTTTGCCAATTAAAATGGGGAAAAAAAGGAGGGGGGCGGGGGGGGAGAGAGGGGATTTACAATTAGGAAGAGGAATCCAAAAGGAAAACTTGCAGCCATTAATACAGTTCTTATAACACAGATGTTTTCATGCAGGTATTTCATTGGATTTTCCTTTAAAATCTACAGACTACAACTGGAGATCACAGATCTGCTTAAGCACAGATTTCCTTTTGTTTTTTTTTCATCACGTACCTTTAAATGACTTGTATTATCAGTAAAACCTTAACCATAAAAAATAAAAATTAACCTTAAGATAACCTCATAAAGAGAAAAACTTAAGTTATTGTACAAGAATCACTGAACCTTCCCCAAATACAAAAAAAAACAACCCCATGCTTTATTTAAAAAGATACGCAACCACGAAAAAATCAATCATAAAAATATTTAAATATAAATTTTAACTAATTCAGCATCTATTGAAGCTTGCAAGCTTTAGTTTAGCAAATCTTAGGAGAAAGAAGTGTTATTTGCTTGCACAGCTTTGCAAGCAGCTTCACTAACACTGATATATGCACCTTTCCTTGGCCTGGCCAGCCCCTCCTGACCCTTTCGCACACACCTGCACCTCCTGGTCATGTGGCCAGGCTGAGCATGCCAACAACAGTCCCTGAGGGTGGGATCAATGACCTCTGCAGGTCCCTTCCAAGTATTCCATTCCAATCTCCTGGTTCCTGGATTCAGAAATCTGAACATCAAGTGTTGGTTTGGATGATCCAAAACAGAAAGGTGTATTTACAAAGAAACAAACAAAATCACACAAACAGAATTCTGGCTGCTCTAGAAAAGGCTTTTTCACATTTTAGGGAAAAAGCATCAAAAGAGGCACCTCCTAATTTATGAGTGCTGCTCTGAAAGTAATGCTTCCTGCTGTATCCTGTTGGCCCACGACATCAGAGGCAGATGCTGGTGGTGTGGCAGTAGAGGTTGAACCTTCCTGCCAGTATTCTGTTACATGTTGTTGCCGTAGGACAGGTGGCAGCAGAGGGGCAGTCTGACAAAATGGCATCAAAGAAGTGAATTCCTCCATGTGGAAAAAATGGCACCTGCTGACATTCACTGATGCTTGCTGAAACTTGTAGAGATTTCCCTGTGCATAAAACCTTCTGGTTTGACTAAAAGCTCCTTTGTCCAGAGAGGAGATTTCAGGGACCAGGGCTACCTTTCAATGAGCAAAAACAGCTTGGATTGCAGACACTGCAAAAGGCTGTGCTACATCTATTTCTGTTCCCAAAGGTAAGGAAGAGCAGATGTGAATGCTATTTTTCATCTCCCCAAAGCCTGATGTTAAATAGATAATTCTGCTTCTTGAATGCTGCTATGGGCTTTTAGAAACTCACAGGTTTCAGTACTTGCTTTGAAGTAAGAGATTAGACAACACTAGATGATATGAACATGTTTAACAAGGAACATTTATAGCGATGTGCTAGCAGCCATGAAGACAGAGACAACAAAGACTCTGCTAAAAATAAATAGTCCCAAGCTGTGAAACATGCTATACAAATAGCAATTTAAATAGGCTCAGAGGGGTTACTAGGCAAAAAAAGAAGTGTATTGAGTAAGGAAGTTGGTCATGCAAGCGTGAGGTTGCAATCAAGCAGAAGAAATCAAACACATTCAGGAAAACAAAATTTAAAAAAATATTTTTTCCAACCTGAGAGCATTCAGGTTTGGGTCAAACAATACATTTTCCAATCAACTGCAGTTTTATCACACTCAAAAATGCTTTGAGATAGTGTGAGCAGTCAACCAAGGATTGGTTCAAACCTACACATGAGCACATACTCACTGCCCTCCATTCTGTAAGCATGTGCACCAAAGCCAAAATGCAGATCATATCACATGGAGGTATATATATCTCTAAGACTTTGTTTATCCATGGGGAATGGGTAACAACAAATGACATATGATCAGCTGCCAGCAGCTAGCCCTAACCTGGCTCCTCAAGTCTAGCATGCGCAATGCTGCCCAAGCCTGCAGCTTGCACTGTCACTAGAATGCAGAAGTCTCGGAGATCAGAGCTCATGAAAACAACTTCCCATGGCCCAGCTTCACCCCTCAGTGCAGCACATGAATGTCAACTTTGGAATGGGCATACAGTAGACAGCAGGGAAACTCCAGCTGCACCTGGAGTCATGAATTCAAATGAAGAAAAACCTCAAGAAAGGGAATTCTCTGGGTCAGGTGCCCCTTTTTGCATTGTTTTTGTACAGTGCTTAGTACAAGTGACATCTGTTTCATGGCTAGGCTTGCTCAAATCTTCGAAAATAGAAGCAGTCAGCACTGCTACTGCTCAAAACTGTACCTCTCTTCTGATAAAGATCTACAAAATTGCAATCTAAACAGCAGTGATTTAACTTCATACAGCAGTATTACCTATGGACTTGCAATGTGAGATGAGATGGCTAAAATACAACATATGGCAGCAGCAGTGAGGGTCTGTGAATTTAGGCAGGTCTGTGTCTCACAGTCATGCTCTAGAATGTATACCACCAGTGTCTTTGGTATTTCAGTCCAAAATAATGAACTTAAAAACTTACTTAGACTGAAGAAGGAAGTTAACTTTTAAGATACTAAAATTGTAATCACATATATTCAAATATTTCCTTCACTTAATGATGAATTATTTT